AATCATTCTCAAAGATAATCGATATTTAACCTAGTTTCCATTTTCACTAGTTTTCTTTTTTTTCTATCCCATAATACTATCACTATCTTTTCCTTACAAATCTGAAAAGATAGCCAATGCTCATGTTGTATAATAATATTTTAATAATATCTATAAAATTTCGATAAAGTATTTTCTCCTTTCTTACCGATAGCATTGCTTTAAGCTTCAATAAGTATGCCAAGCGCTATTAAATAATGACAAAAATAAAAGTATGTTTTTGCATTTTAAACTGTGGCCAATATACCCCGGCTTACCCTACATTTAATTGTTCATGGATATAATAAAATTTAATTTGTATTTTATATTTTTATCACAATGCAATAATTTGCATTTATTTTTAGTAAGACGGATATTGAAAGTGGGAATCATTTTTATATCGTTTCAGTCGTTTGGTGATATAAGGTTATTGATTCGATAACCGTAACAGTAAATACATGATGAATAAATATAAGTAATAATTTAGAGTCGTATGCATTTAACGGATGCAACGGATATTAAAGATAATGGAATAGTATCACATATCATATGGCAGAATACAGCCGTGATCTTAATTTGATTTTTATGAGCACTGGCTAATTCGGGAAAGGAACCGTCACACTTTGATCTCGTTAAATTGCTTGATTTACGACAGACCGCACAAAGTTGAAAACGAGGCATGCTTCTGGATGACACCGCGATGGGTGGTGCACGAGAAAAAACGAAACGGCGTGTGGGACTAACATTTATGAGATCGGGCAATAAAACACCGGTGTTTATTGCCACTAACCACCAGACGTACAAGACGTGTCATGTATTTCTGCGAAAATCTCTACGCTTTACTCTGCACTTATTGCTAATAGTTATTATTTATTATTAATTTATTCTACTCATATTTTCATTTCACGAAATTGAATAAAAAATTATTTCTTAAAAACTTTTTATTAAATGTGATTTACTTATTTGAGAATCATTTTACAAAAATGATATCTATATAAATTCTTGCTTTATAAATAAGCAACATGTATAAGCTATACATGTACCTAATATTCGTTGTCAATCTGTAATTGTATAAAACGTTTTACTTACAGCAACGGGAATATAAGAAAATATACATACGATCAAACTCACAAGTATCAAACCCAAGTGTTATATAGCTTTATTGGCCTGATAAATCTGACGTGAATTATGAGAAGATTATGAGATAAGGCTTACCGAGCCGATAGCTGTCAATGACGAGGAAACGTTTGTGCAACTTGCTCTCGGTGACGCATAGACACAAAACGCAGCCGCAACAATGTTGCGGAGAAGGCATGCAACTCGTTAGGCTCGCAGGGACGGCAAAGGAAACCGTCGTCGTCATCGTCGGCGAAAATCTACGCGTGCAACAGATGGACGTAGGAACGTAACAAACGACCGCGATAACACGACGTCACGTTAAGGGCTTACGTGGCGCTGTTAGGAATGGGAACCATTCTGAGATCGTCGCTAAGATTTCGGAAGCGCTTAAGAGAGCCGTAGACATGCAAACGTCCAATGCAGTAATTCATTCTAGATTTATTACCCTTCGACCGTAACATTGTGAATCGCGTCACGCGATGGCACCTTTAGTTACTATGCATACGATACGAGAAGTTGCTGAGATTTTATTCTGTAGTTTTTCATATATTTCACTTTTGAAAATCTAACCCATCGCCATAACGCGCTGAAGCATTGCAGCTTGAAACAAATACGATTAATTTTTAATTAATATCGCGTAGATATATGTGGGGTAGCTCAGTCGGAAGAGCACTCGTTCGGCAAGCGGAAGGACCCAGGTTCGAATCCTGGTCTACTCCTAGCCCGTTATTTTTCTTGTCGAAAATTAATAAAGTGGTCTTAGTGCCTTCCTCCTCGAAGGTACACCTCTATTTATTACGTATGTATAACATTTAAATCTCTATAAATCATTCAATCTAGGAATAGTGCTTAGTCTGCTTATTGATTTCTTATTGTTACCATATTATACCAGTTTAAGTTCCGCTTTCACCAACGTCGTTTAACTTTAAGCTAATTCGTTCTTTGTGTCTTTTCAACTATTACTTCAGAAAGAGGCAGACACAAATTAAACTAATTGTAAGATTAAAGTTAAGCGACGTTTGGTGAAACCGGGTCTAAGAAGAAGTGATTAGTAATGATATTTAAGCAATAGGTCGAGTCTTGAATCCTTCAACGCAAACGAGCTTTACTGTTTGCAGCAAATACGTCCTTCGTTATAGGATAACGTTTAGAATCAATAGAGACCTTGCAATCGTTCTGGTCGAGTCGCCAATCATTTCCGGCGTGCTGACCCTTAACCCACGCTGCATAAAACTGGTCCGGTAACTGGTGCGTAAATGCCTTGGTCGGTGACATGAGAAGTTTCGCTGAAAAACTAGGAGTTTTTGTCAGAAATTATTTGCGCGCCATAAGCCTCCGACGATTCCTATCGACGCGAGATACGCTCTTACCTCTCGTGACAATTTCGTTTTTGCGTTTGTCAAAAAGTCCGTCCAATGTCAGGAGAGGACGGGAAAAGGAGAAGAAGTCTTATCGGCGTTTACCGACGCGCGAAACGAACTTGTCAGGGCAACAGTCGAACCAGTATTCCCACACAAATGTCCCCCGAACCGTATCTGAACCCCCGTCGCGCGACACATTTCGCGAGATTTTTTACGAGTCAAGAACACGGCATACAGGCGATTTATGCACTTATACTAGGCAAAATTAGAGAAGCTTATTATGCATCAGATTGAAGTATTCTACTACTACTTCTAGATAAGTGATATAATACTAACGATACACGTGATAAAAGATACTTTTTCGGCTTCTATAAAGCGCACTATAACATATAAAAAAAGATTTCTTGTGCATAGGGTTTCTTTAAATTGTTATCTATGTACTGTATTGCAATTTTACAGACAGAATTATAAATAGAATCAATGATAAACAATATTTCGCGTACGTTGGTTACAGATTCTTTAATAGCTTTGAAGATATGGTATTTTCTTCACAAAAACGATATTATGTTACGATTCTTATTTCAACATGGGTTTGCTATTTCGTTTTTATTACATTTACTACGTTAATACTTCAATCTATGCCTAAATAAGTTAAACCGTAAGTTAGGATTTTCTTCAAATCTTTGGATGTTAAATCTTTGGAGGAAAATTTAGTAACACAATAAAAGTATATCAAACCGACAATGCCGCTACCTCTTTGTCAAATCAGTTAGTTTAGGAATAAACTCATGGAATTATGCCAACAATATGTTTAACCAAAATGCAAGCTTATTGAACGAGCTTACGACGGTGAAAGTGATGGCATCACGCGAGCCGTTCAAATGGCCAGGACATTCGCGATAAGCGATCACCTGCTGCGTTAATCCTTCTAATCCTTCTTCTCCTACATGATCATAAACGTTCGTCCTTACTGGCATACTCTTGCGGATTCTCGACATCTGGCCTTGGCTTTACCCAGACCACTTGCCGTTAATGGAGAACATTCGAAGAACCCGAGGTTCTGCATTTAGTACCTGGGAACCACAAGGCTGAATGCTACTTCCGCATTTGTCTTTAATTCACACGATTAAATCAAATATTAAAAATGAAATCCCAGACAAATATACTTTTTAATCTTGTATCTCTCGGTTAATCAATTTTTCCTTCAAGTTAGACTTAGCTCTACCGCGCTCGTATCTTACAGATGCAACATAATCTTTAAAATCTCTTTAAATCATTATAAGTTAAACAATAAAATAAAATTCTATTTTATCATAAGTAAATTACCCTTATTTTATATTTGCCGCAAATAATTATCGCAAGAAATTATAAAAGCTACACCCGCGTATAAAGTAACAACGCATAAACGCGATGTGGACAAAGGCTTGAAATCGATGGAGCGTGTTTAATGCTGCGTGTGCGGTGAGAAAACGGGTCGGGAACTATGAGGACTACGAGCTAATATTTAATCACCGGCGAAATTGCGTGTATAAATCCTTTATACAGTCACTCCGAGTGGACTTTCCTACTTGGCGATAGATCGCGTTCCTCGTGCCCGTTGCCTCTTGAGCATGAAACGAACGTGGACAGGGACCACCGTGTCCTCGGTATTCGTTGTTGCGACAGTAAATGTTCTGTCGCGTTTCACCAAACACGACATGGCGAAATGCAGTTTTCTATGGCCTGACGATGACGAAGTAGTTCTGTCGGGCGAGCATTCGTTTCGACGCCCAATTATATAATATGTACGATCGCCACATATTTCCTTCATAAATCGTTGAGAGCCTCTCGATATCTGTACACGCCGTCGCTCATTGCTAAATTATATGGCGATGTTATCGAGGTTTAATCTTGTTTCCAGGTCATAGAATATGGACGTTCTTTTTGCTTCCGAAATACTGGTCCTTAATCATAAATGCAATCTTTCATATTGAGTCCTGTCGCGTAAGCTTAATTCCGGAGTCGGGCTCGAGCAACGACAAGCTATAATATCGTCGCCAACGCAAATACTTATTTCGAACGTGTATTCAATCGGCCTTCGTATTTTACGATTTAACCGGTCTTCTGCGTATTTTAAGATTCAAATGACTGCGCTTTAGCGAACAGTTTGGCTGCACGACATGAGGGATATCGTTTACGATGGCTATCGAAATAATCGACTTGCCGATTTAATTTCTCCGTCGCATAAGTCGCAATAACAAAATGCAAAGCTGAAATCGAGATGCAAGATCCGAAGAAAGGATTATTTAAGAATTCATGAAGGATTTTTACTGACAATATCTTCCTGTGATAATGTCTTTTATATATCCGGTTTACTTTCAAATATTATTATTGAATGGAATATATAATATACAATATATTATTTACATCCCATCTTATATAAAAATGCTACATATGTATAATGATCTTAATAGCTTTGTATCTACATGAACAGCTCTATCAAAACTAACAATTGCATTTCAGGAGGCGAGTATGCACTAGACAAGCTCCTGCAGTTTCTCATCATCACCGAGGAAGACAAATTAGGTATATTGCATATCCCGCAAATTTGAGAGCTTTTAGTTATTTAAATTAAACTGACTTATTATATTTTACCTTAGAAAAGATATTATATTAAAAATATTTATATATCTAAAGATAAATATTTTTAATGTAATTATTAAAGATAGATTTATGAGTAATGAAAGATAGTTTTCCATTTACAGTTTATGATACTTTGTATAGTTTATAAATTACGTTAAATAAATTAAAGAAATTTATGAAATATCCTAGATTAGTATACACTGAGATGACTTCCAGTCTCTTTTGTTGTCCGGGGTGGTCACAAGTCACTCACTTGAGTTTTGGTTGCAATAAACGTAAGTAAATTCGACAAAATCTATTTTCAACATTTTATAATAAGTGCAAATATAATTAAAAATAATTATATTTATAAGAAATATGGCAAAAATAAAGTATAAGATTTTATTAGTGCAATACTAAATGTTATTTCAAATTTTAATAAGCAATTTACAAAATATTGAGTTAAATTATATTAATAAAATATGAAAGGTAGGTGCTAATCCATTCAATATTTCCATCTTTTTATTCAACTATGAATTTTTCTCGACTGTACGAGAGTGTATTAATTTCAATATCATATTTTCCAGCCGTATGCTCAGCTCCATGTCTAAACGGTGGAGTTTGTACATCGCCGGGCAAATGCACGTGTCCCAAAGGATATACAGGCAACCAGTGCCAAACAGGTAATTTTAATTTTACTTATAAAGTAGAATTACAAATATGATTTAAATAAATCAAATTTGGATTACACTCACCATTACTTCTCTTTCATCCTAATAATTTTCATTCATTAATCGGTCCGATTTTTCAAAATTTTGATATCCACATTTTAAATAAGTCTGTCTTTTTGTTGTACTCGCGATCGCATTCTTAATATAATAAATAGTTCACACAATAATATATACAAGAGAGTGGTATCATCCGTGTAATGTAATGGAATCGCTCGTAAATCTATCAAGAGCGTGGTTGCAACCGACCGACGCAGCAGGACATGCAGGACATTGCAATACGTATTGTGCTGCAGTTAGCTTGGCGTAATGCTATCGAGAAGTATATCGTTCGACGTCGATTTAATTACGTCTGACGATACCAGGCACGAGAAGGCACTCGTAACCAAGCAATCGATTGAATGTTCTTCGTGCATTAACGAGGCGATGCTCATATGTCGTTACTTAGGAGCGATCGTCTCTAATTATATATTATCTAGTCATTTAATAAAACTATGATTTAAATAAAGCAACAAGAAAAGTATCTAAATTTTGTTAAAAATATGTAACAAATGTCATGTTCTATATCAAATATTTTAAGAATCGCAACATACATAATATGTAATAAAATTCCAATTAAATATATAATTTATTTATATTGTTTATACTTGATATGTATTATTTATATAAAAATTAATTAAATAACATAATTTTGTTAACTATACTTGCATCCCTTTATAAAGTCAATTTACGAAAACTATATTTCTAATTCTTTTATTTCTAATAATTCCTATCTTCTATTAAATTAAGAATTCTTTAAAAATGAGTTTTTATTGTCCGATAGAATAACGCGTATAATGACAATTTTGGTATCTTGTGGAATTAAATTAAATATTATATATTCTTTATCATGCAGACGTGGATGAATGCGTGACAGAGAAACCATGCGGACAACTTTGCACAAATCTACCTGGTAGATACCGATGTCACTGTAGAGTCGGATTTCAACTTCAACAAGATGGCCAATCTTGTCGAAGAAATGGTAGGTTTATAAAGTTTAGAACTTAAGACAGAAGAATAGTTTTAAGTTCATTGTTTTGCAGACACAGACGAAAATGCTTTTGAAGCACGCGATTTAGAGACTGATTTATATGACGTGTCGGCAACAAAGGATCCAACGACTTTTCACGGTGTGTATGTCTTAAAGTTTTGTTGTAAAATTTATACTTGAGAAGTCAGAATATTTTACACAGTTACTGTCTAAATTATTGTCCACTATATTAGTGAACATGATACACTCACGTGGTAAAATAAAAAATTTATATAAAGTATAAATTAATATAAAAAATAATAGACAGAGTACCGATGAATTTTGCAGATACAGAAAATGAAGTTAGCGACGATGATCAAGATTACGGGGTTATCTTAAAGAGACTGATTAAATTGGAAAAGGTAGGTTAAAAATGATTATTAATACAACACCTATTGATGAGGAAATACATTAATTCTTCAGCAAGTAGCCAGAAACAGAAAGAGAGATACGGAGGCTTCCGAGATGAACACCAAAGTTACACTGGCGGTCGAAAGTATTAACGAGATGAAGAGAACCATCGAAAATGTGGTATTTGAGAAACATAAAAATATTAAATACTTAAATCTCAATATAGTGCACGGTAGAGATCTCGTAAATAATTTTGCCTATTAAAAATTATTCATTGTATGTAAAAATGTGAGAAGACGCGCATATAAATAATAACTGATATAAATAAACACGCGCAAAAAATATTTACTTCTTATTTTCTTTCAAATTATTGCCACTGATCTAAGAAATGGTATTATTACGTTTTCTTGTTATACATATATTCTTATATTTAAAAAAGAGTACATTTTCAACAGCGAAGACGTTTGTGATCGTGATATCTTGATTAACATTTTTGTATCCGATTTACTTAAAGAATCTATCACTCTCTGTTCAGCAATAGTGAAACTTTCTAAATTCTCGGAAGGAACAAATAAGTTAACGGATATTCGTGAACGCTCTAATAGTATTTTGATTCTTTACTTTTTATCTTGAATTACACTATATTAAGATTAAAGTGATTGGCCACTACTTTTTAATATTTATGGATTATGCAATTTATTTGTTCTAGCAATTGATGCAACAAGAAGTATACGACATGAGAAGCAAGATAAGACAATATGAAGCAGAAATGAGAAAGATACATCATCTGATGAATCGCGTCACGGAATTAGAAAATCGCTTGAGAATACGTTGTCCATATCAATGATTTGTAAATGGTTGAACTTCTAACGTTGCTAAAACATCACGCGGAAATTATTATCAATATATACAACCTGATATTATAAATGACGAATAGTAGTACTATCTATTATTTCATTTGATATTAGTAGTAGATAGCGTTACTACTAGTTTAACAATAGATAAAGATATATATATATATATCATAACTTTTTGCGTTCTCGGAATACGTGAAAATAATTAATAATACTTTTAAATCTAGAGATGTGTTTATACAAAGGAAAATGCTGTACATTTAAAACCAAAATATTTAGTTTGATTTTCAATCTGCAAAGCTATATTGGTTCGTTTTAGACGCAAAGTGTTGACGTAATAGTAGCCGTATGATTTACGCGGAATTGTTTCTGCCGTGAAATATCACTGCCATTATTTAGCATTTGTTATATTTTCAAGCTAATAATAGTAATAGTACAATACTTAAATATTATGACTTGAATTTGTATTCAGCTTTGTAATAAAATGTTTGTATTCTTTCATATTAATCTAGATTTTAATGGATATGAATGAATAATGATGCACCATATAATATTAAAATAACTTATAGATATGAGAAGATTATTTTTAATTACTTCTGAAGATTTTTTAATAGGCACTATTATTGAGATCTCTCGTTCAGTTCAGTTAATAATAGTTTAAAACGAAAATTGGTAAGTTATAATATATGAGAACATGCCTAATGCGGGTCACAAGGCAAGATGTAGGTAGCCCAACTTGCAGATCTTAAAATCTTTCTGAAAATCGTGACGATAATAATTCCACGTGTAAGATAAACTGCGTTATGTCCGAAAAAAGAATTCGGCGCGTAGAACTAATGTGGAAAGAAACGGTATATAGATTCACGATTTTCAGAAAGATTTTAAGATCTGCAAGTTGGGCTACCTACATCTTGCCTTGTGACCCGCATTAGGCATGTTCTCATATATTGTTTAGTTTTAGATAGAGGGTCTTACTTGAAAGTTTAATATTGGTAAGTTATCTTCTGATTGTTAACTTTCGAAATGTAATAGGTACACTGTATGGACAATTCTAACCTTGTGTCGACGCCATGCCAAAATCTTTAAAACGGCGTGGATGGGGTAAAGTCATATTTTAAAAAATGGCTATTTTTTGACTGTTGTTCACATTGGAAGACATCTACGACAGAAGAATATTTTTATCTATTACAGATGGGCGGAACTCAGCTAATGTCCACTTTTCGGCGATGGCACACTCACTGTTGCATAAAAATTAATTTTTATGGCTCTATTGCTTCACAGTAAAAACTATTCCCACTTTACCTCACTTTCCCCTACCTTTTTGCTCACAATCTTTTCAACTAGCATTTGAACAAATTCGCTTCAACATATTTGACTATCTGGGATTACATTACAAAGAAACTCTTTTCTGCACTTACCGGTTTATACTGGCCTGATCATACAATAATAGAAAATTCTAAATACGTAAGTCAATAATTTTCTAATTCATTTAGAATTTTCTAGAAATAAGATATTCTCCTTTTTAATACTACATTTTTATTTTTGACAAAAAGGGAAAGCGATATCTATAGTACTTACGAATTAATAAGTAACATAAAAATTAATTCGACAATGTATAAAGAATTTTAGTTTTCTTTCTTTGTTCTCTTTTGTCGTCGAGTAAGTCTCTTGCCCATCTTCTTGCTTGCTTTTTGCGTTTTTGCTCTGCCCTTTTTGTGCTTCATTATCTTCCTATGGTTCATCCACACAGGATAATTGCCATGTTGATCCAGCAATGTTTTCTTGTTATACACTCTAGCACTTCCTACTTCCATTTCTTCCTCGCCTGTCTCAGTCTGAGGCTCTCCCGTCTTGACTTGCTTAGCCTTTATATTTTCTTTTACTTTCTTAGCATTGACAACTATGAATTTTAGAAATAATACAATATAAAACATCATATGGTTAGATACATATATTGGCATTATAATATAATGACAACATTAAAATACTAAAGGTACCCATACACATTCCGGAAATCCTCTGAGAAGAAACTGCAATCCTGGCCTTTGCGATTTCCGGAGTGTCTGTGCGCGAGGATTCGTACAGGCAATCCCGAAGGCCAGGACTGCACAGTTTTTCCTCAGAGGATTTCCGGAATGTGTATGGGTACCTTTATAAGGATTTGGATAAACAATTATTAATGCCTTAATGTGGATCTTACCAGTAGCAATTTCGCAAATGTCTGTCATTTCGATATCCTTAGACGCATCAGCATCAGTACCGAGGGTTTTCTTCAGTCTTTCCAATTCTTTTACCGCGTAACGTTCTCTTTTAATCGCCCTGCATTTTCTTTTCCATTTACTGCGCAGAGATTTAGCCATTTTTTTACACGTGCGTTATACACCGTCGTGCACACGCGGTTACACAGGGACAATGGAGGAGCACGAAGAATCGAAGAGGTTATGTTTCAAGCATATATACAGAGAGACAACTGAGAGCGGCCACGCCGGCTTTTTACTTGATACCGTTTTCGATCAGCTGATTCCAGCGCCTAACACCCATTTTCATTTTTGGAACTATTCCGCTACACCCATTTTCAAGCACTGCCGATAAAGTCTCTACTTGGTGTGTGTCCAGGGGAGCGATCGCGTGCACGATCGAATTCGATCGGTCGACTTCTCATACGTCTCTACTCTACAGGTTTCATGGTTCATGCTTATTTATTATAGGATAGTTTCCCTCAGACCATAGATTGATCATGTACGAAGAGTGGTATCGGATGGCATATTCCTTCTCGAATTCGAATTCGATCGGTGCACGCGATCGCTCCCCAGGGGTGCTTTCGCGACGTAGATCAAAATGATCCGGATCAAAATGATCCGTGCTATGATTGGTCAAATCTTAAATTTCGTAGCATCTCATTGAAATTTTATTCAATGAAATTCCAGATTTGACCAATCATAGCACGGATCATTTTGATCTACGTCGCGAAAGCACCCCGAGTTACACCCATTTTTCAAGCGGGTAATGCAGTACCCTTCTACTTGGTTGTGTTCCGTACTGCATAACACGAGAGTGTTATTTTCATTATTCGTAACGGGGATAAGAATTGATATTAAGCTAAAAGTGGATGTCAAATAAAAAATGGATTGACTTGCGTTGATTTCGTTTTGTGGTCAACATACTTTTAAATTGCAATGTCCTGTAATGAAACTTGTAGATGTTGAATTCCTTGAGAAGGTCCACAACTCGTATGGTCGAAACGTCGAATTTAAATAAATAAACCATCTACGAACCTAAAGTCATCTAACAATTCTTTTTATCGTTAATCACCTACTGGCGATTCACATTCTTTCGTTGCTGACATTGTATAAATTATATGTATAATTGCAAAATATAAAAATTTGCTGACAACGTTATACTCCTTTTGTCAACAAAATTTGTAGTAGATTGTTCTCGATAAACTTGGTTATCTATATATTTTATTATAAGAAGAATTTATTATAAAATTATTAATAATAATAATAAGAATTTATTAAAATGAATATTGAGTGAATTAGGTTTGCTATTCAATGCACGACGTGAGAGAGATTCATCCGAGTTCAATCGTTAAAAAAGGTATTAGCGCTCGTGGATATATCAAACCTAACTAATAATTTATTGTATACATATGTAATTCCCTTATGGCACTTCTACTTCAAATTACGCGTGATATTTTTCTCGACAAATCACCGCAGAAATAAGCAATAAGATTACAGATCGTGACAATTAATTAAATGTGATTGATAAATTTTAATAACTCTCTTGTAAGAAATGATCGCGTTACGAGGAGCGATGCGAAGACACGCGGAACATCCGCCTCGTTCGACTGATATGCACCGAATGATTCGACACAATAGACTGTATTGAACCGGTGTTTGCGGCGCTATGTCATTTCTTGGAATCGACGCCCGAAATTCCAACAATTTTCGCAATTGATTAATTTTAATAATCGACGAAAATTTCAAAGCACGACGCGAGATTCATACCTATTTCGGAAGAAAATCAATATTATTTTCAGAAATAATCAATGATGTCTCATAAACTAATGATCCGAGATAAGCGATTCTTATCTCGTTAGAAGCGCTGAAATCTTAGCTATCCAACGAGACCAAGATCATCTTGCTACGATTTTTCTGTGCGAAAATATTGACGATTATATCGACTTGCAATCTCTCGATCACGGAGGAAAATCAATTTTATTTTTGGAAATATTAAATGATGTCTCATAAACTAATGATCCGAGATAAGCGGTTCTTATCTCGTTGGATGCGCTGAAATCTTAGCTTTCCAACGAGACCAGGATCATCTTGCTACGATTTTCCTGTGCGAAGATATTGCCGATTATATCGACTCGCGATCTCTTAATCTTGAAACAGAAGCAGCAGACGTCGCATATACGTGGCGTCTCGCGCGGTGTCTGGCGCGGCGGTATTTACTACCGAACACATGTGCCTCATCTGTTTTAATCCCAGTTTTTTAGGGACGTAGTATGTCCGCGTGCTACTTGCGTAAAATTCGCGCGGCCTTCTTTCATGAATGGTGCGCGCGCGCCGGATTTTTAAAACGCTATAACTTGGCGAAAAATCGACGTAGCGACACGAACCAAAAACCAATCTTCTTCGTTTCGCATCCCGCAACTGTCTACGTTGAGTATGTATGCTCTTATCATGAAACTGACATACGACATTGGAATAAAAAGTAAAATAGTGAAATATAAATTACACGTATAACTACTAAATATAAAATGTTACTAACAAGCTATGTTAGACTGTATAGCAAGTTTATTAAAATTTGATTTTTTATCATTGATCATCCCATTTTATTGACGTGCTTTATTTCTACTAGCACTTTGGTATAATTAAATGTGTCAAGTTTTGTATTAAATTTGTATACCTTTTGTCGGCAAAATTTGTTAAATATGTTCGGAACTATGA